AGGGCTCTTCTATTATTTTTTTTAAAACTAATTTTGTTCAATATTGGTACTTTTTTTTTAACATGAAGATTTATCCTTTTTAGTGTGTGTGTGTATGTGTGTGTGTGTTGATTTCAGAGAGGAAGGGAGAGGGAGAGATAGAAACATCAATGATGAGAAAGAATCATTGATTGGCTGCCTCCCACATGCCCCACACTGGGAGCCCGCAACCTGGGCATGTGCCCTGACCCCTGGTTCATAGGTCAACGCTCAACCACTGAGTTACGCCTGCTGGGCTTGGTTGATTCTTGTATGTGTCCTGACTGGGGATCCAACCCACAACCTTGGTGTCCGGATGATGCTCTAACCACTGAGCTACCCAGGCTGGGCTTATTTGTTTTGTTTTGTTTTTAGTCATAGCCTCTGTTAATTTTCTTCCTGCTCATTTATGTGATATTGGGGCATTTTACAATATTCCTAGTTCAATAGCACATTCTTTTTTCCCCCCAATAGCACACTCATGTCACGATGGCAAAGACCAGATATTTTAGTGGATTTTTGTTTATTTGGTGAGAGGAGGGATTTGTGTCTTCCAATATTTTTGTTTCTCTTCTGTCTGTCAAGACCCTACATTTTCCCCTTTTTCCCCCCCTCCCTTTATCACTCAATCGCCTCGGTTCACCTCTCTCTCTCAGTCTCTCTTTTCTGGCTTTTATCCCATACCCCAGAATTTATGCATTTTAAAGACTAACCCTTCAAATGCCACATGCCTTCTCTGTAGTCTGAGCTTTCCCTGGTATCTTAACTGCGGAAGGACCTCATCTTTCCTACAGAAGTTCTAGATCAGATCAACCTTGGGCCAAGCTGCCAACTTTCCTGTTCCCTCTTCCGGTTTTCTTGGCACAAAACCTGTGGCAGGTGGAGGTGAGGCAGCGGCGTGAGGGGTGGGCACCGGGATTCGGTGTCTCTCTTCGTTTGCACTTATTCTGAACTTGGCACGGTCTCTGCTTTCCAGTGCTGAGGCTGTGTTCCCGGCAGACTTATTCCCCATTCTTGTTCTGATTTGTTTTGGAAGGAAATGGAGATGGAGACGTAGGCAGCCGCTATGCCCCTCAGCTACTTGAGGCCCTCAGCTCCTATTTTGTGCCTTTTTAAGACAGAGGTTAGCTCATTAGCTTGAATTCTCTTTTTTATTATCCAATACTAGAGGCCTGGTGCACAAAATTTGTGCACTGGGGGGGAAGGGGAGTGTCCCTCAGCCCAGCCTGCACCCTCTCCAATCTGGGACCCCTTGGGGGATGTCTGATGGCTGGTTTAGGCCTGGTGGGATCGGGCCTAAACCGGCAATCGGACATCCCTCTCACAATCTGGGACTGCTGGCTCCCAACCACTCCCCTGCCAGCCTGATCGACACCTAACTGCTCCCCTGCTGACCCAATCACGCCTCACTGCTCTCCCCTGCAGGCCTGGTCACCCCCAACTGCCCTCTCCTGCAGGCCTGGTTGCCCACTCCCCTCCCCTGCCAGCCATCTTGTGGTGGCCATCTTTGACCACATGAGGGGGGCCATCTTGCGCAAGAGCATGGTGGTCAATTTGCATATTACATCTTTATTATATAGGATTGTATGTATTTGAGGTAACAGATTCCTCTCTAAGAACTGTTAGCGTTTTTCCTAATTTTGAAAATCAATATTTTCATTATGATTGCAACCTGAAACACCACAAATCTATTTTTTTAAAAAAATATTTTTTTATTGATTTCAGAGAGGAAAGGAGAAGGAGAAAAAGATAGAAACATCAAGGATGAGAGAGAATTATGGATGGGCAGCCTCCTGCACACCCCATACTGGGATGGAGCCCACACCCTGGGCGTGTGCCCTGACCGGGAATTGAACCGTGACCTCCTGGTTCATGGGTCGATGCTCAACCACTGAGCCATGCTGGCCGGGCGTCTACTTTCTAACTTATGTTGTGTGTTTTTTTTTACCTTGATGCAGGATTCCCCCTCCCCCACCCCAACCCCTAATTTACCTGTTTGTTGTCAATGTTTGACTTAATTGTCTTGTGGTAAAAAATAAACAAACACCACACAGACGGGATGATTTTAATTTTTTAAGATTAGTTAAGTTACTTTATGGTTTAGAATTTGAGACTTTATTGGAAAATGTTCTGCATATGTGCTTTTCTGCATTTGTTGGGTATACTGCTTCTTATCTGCCCACTAGGTCATATTTGTTAACCATATTCTTCATACCTTTTAAATCCTTGCTGTTGTCCCTGACTGGGTAGCTCAGTTGGTTAGAGCATCCACCAGATATGTAAGATTGGGAGTTTAATCCCCGGTTAGGATTCATACAAGAATCAACCAGTGAACGAAAGAAATCCACAACCTTTTGGTGCAGGGGACGATGCTCCAACCAACTGAGCCCCCTGGCCAGCACCAAATACATATTTTAAGTCACCTGTCACTACCTCATACTTGTTAGGATAGCTGTTATCAACAACACAGAAAATAACACTGTTGGCAAGAATGTGGAGAAATAAGAACCCTGTGCATTGTTTGCGGAATGTAAAATGGTTCAAACGCTGTGGAAAACAATTTGATGTTTCCTCAAAAATTAAAAATAGAATTAGCAAATGATGCAGCAATTCCACATCGGGGTATATAACCCAAAGTACTGAAAGCAGAGTCTCAAACAAAATGTGGCATACACATAGAATCAGTATTATTTCGTCTTAAAAAGGGAGGAAAATTCTGACAAAGGCTACAGCATGAATGAACCAATAGACAGTGTGCTAAGTGAAATAAGCCAGTCACAAAAAGACAGATGTTGTATGATTCCACTTACGCGAGGTGTCTAGAGTAGTTGACTTCATAGGGCAGAAAATAAAATGGTGGCCCAGGCCGGGGAGCTCAGTTGGTTAGAATGTCATCCAAATATCAAGGTTTCAGGTTCAATCCCTGGTTGGGGCATATACGAGAATCAACCAATAAATGAATACATAAATGGGACCACAAATTGATGTCTCTCTCCCTCTCCCTCCCTCTCTTCCTTTCCTTCCTCTCTTTTTCTAAAATCAATAAATAAAAATTAAAAAGAAAAATTATTTTAAAAAGACAAGGAAATAGAAAGGCGGCACCAGGGGCTGGGAGAGTCAGGGTTTCATGGGCACAGAAATCCAGTTTTACAAGATGAAGCGTTCTGGAGATGAATAGTGGGTGTTGATTTCACACCAATAGGAATGTACTTAAAACCAATAAACTTAAAAATGATTAAGGTGGTAATTTTTTTTTTTAACCCTTAACCAGAATCGAACCTGGGACCCTTCAGTCCGCAGGCCGACTCTCTATCCACTGTGCCAAACCAGTCAGGGCAAGGTAGTAAATTTTGTTATGTATATTTTACCACACACACAAAAAAAGGAAAGAAGAGTGACCTGTCTAGGTAGGATCGTAGACAGTAAATGAGCCAGTGAAGACTTGAAGCCCAAAGGGCCTAATGCTGCTGGCCCAACGGGGTGGGGCGGGTGGGGAGGGGTGGGCAGGGCAGCGGTAGCTGAGTGATTTTGTTTTTTGTTTTTTAATCCTCACTGAGGATATTTTTTTCAATTGATTTCCAGAGAGAATGGGAGGGGAAGAGAGGAGAGAGAGAAACATCGATTGGTTGCCTCCCACACACGGCCCTATCAGGGCTGGGGAAGCTGCGCCCTTGACCGAAATCGAACCCGTGACCCTTCAATCCGTGGGCAGAAACTCTAACCATTGAGCAACGGGTCAGGGTGGCTTCGTGGTTTTGGGTAAAGGCCTCCTCTACCAACTCTGGGCCATCGGTCAGGCTCTCCCTCCCTCCCTCTCTCAAAGGATCTTGGGAAGGGGATGTAACCTCTTGGGATTCCCACGCCAGGACCATCCCCTCTCTGGCTCCCAGGTTTTGGGATTCCTGGCACACCCAGCGACCCTGCCCCAGCGAGGCACAGTCCGTGGATTTTAACTCACACGTCAGTCACGGCCTCATCCCCCTGCACCTGGCTGGCATCTGTCAGGCGGTGGGGAGGGGCCTGCCGCCCCTCAGGCCCTGGGCTCCAGCTAGGCGCCTCTTTGCAGGTGGGGAAGCTTTGGAGTCGGTATCTCGGGCAGCTGGGGAGGCGAGCGTGGAGGCTGGATGTGCTCCGGGCAGAGGTAGGCAGGCTGGCCCACATCCCCACTCCCAGGAAGGGGCGGGCGGCAGCGAGCTGTGGGCGGGCCGCTCGGAGGCTATATAAATGCAGGCGCCGGAGGCTGCTGGCAACACTGTAGGTAACCCCTGAGCTCAGGTGAGGCTTCTGGGGAGCAAAGGAGGAGGCTGGGCTGCCAGTGGGGTCCTAGGTGGTGGCTCCCGGGTTGACCACGGAGTGGTGGGCGGCACCTTCTCCTGAGTCCTTTAGGTGGCGTCTCTCTCCAGAGCTTGATAAGTTTGAGGTGGTCCCAATCAACTTGCTTAAACCCAAGCATTGGTATGACGGCAGCCCTCCTTCTGGGCCTCAGTTTCCCCCTGTGAAATTAGGGGTTAATGGTGCCGTAAAGTTGGCCACTTTGGTGCATGGTGAGAGGGTGGCTGTGAGCTGGGGAGCATGGGGAACAGTCAAACTCTGGTTTTGGGGGTCAGACTGGCTCCACTTTTTGGTGGCCATGAGTCTTCACACTTGTTTCCACGTTTGCAAAATGGGTCTTCGGTTCTGTCTGCCTACCAGGGGGAATAAGGTGACGCCCGCAACGCATTTAGCACAGCTCTGGGCACTTAGGGTCCCTCGGTGCTGCCTGCTGCGGCTCTTACTCTCTGGCCCAGCCTGGAGGGGCCCGGGCCGGGGGTGGGGAGCTGCAGCCTCCAGGATCTCTGCTCTTTTCTGGCCTCCCCCCCTACAAGCCCCCCCAGTTTCCTTCTCTTCCAAGACCCCAAGTCTCCATCTTCATCCGTCCACCTTCTGGAGGGCCGCTCTCAGACCAGCCTCACCAACCCCTGACTTGTTGAGGGGGAGGGGAAAGATCTGCCTCACCCGCCCCCACCCCCTATGAGATGAGCAAAGCCGGAGCCCCTGCCCATGAGGTTGCCATCCAGGTGAAGCTGTGGGGCTGGAGCTGTCAAGATGGCGGCAGTGGGCCTCTGGCTGCCCACCAGCACCTGGAGCTCCGGGCCTTCCTCCGCCTGCTGGGTGAGCTGATGGGACTGGCATGGGAGGGACCAAGCTGGAAGCAGACATGAGGTGGGCTCTCCCTGCCCCTTCCCTACCCTCCCCTCCCCTCCCCTTCCCTTCCCTTCACTTCCCCCCTTCCCTTCCCTTCCCTTCCCCTCCCTTCCCAGGTGGCCCTGGTTTGGCAGTGGGTTCAGTGGAGTCGGGCTTTGCAGCTTCGTGCCACTCTTGTCTGGTGGGAAGTGGGTGGTAACCCCACTTAGCCTTTCTCCTCTCTGCCCGCAGAGCACAGCTGCCTTCAGGAATTCCTCGCCAGAGACCCCTGCTTCCAGGTTTCAGATAAGGTGAGGGGACACTGGGGGAGGCTGATTGGTGGGGATTGCATGCTGCTGACTCACTGGGTCCCCTGGCCGGGTGGAGGGACCGCCTGCTTTTCCAGCCCATGTCTCTGCAGGCCCCTCCCCCGCTTTAACCCGGGTTTCTCTAACCCCCACAGAACTTCCTTGGGTGCCAATAGGCCTAGCACAGCTCCCCTTTCCCCCCAGTGCCCAACTCTAACCTCTCCCCCTGCTGTGCCCGCAGTATCTCCTGGCCATGGTGCTGGTCTACTTCCGGCGTGCCAACCTGAAGCTCAGCGAGTACACCTGCAGCAACCTGTTTTTGGCACTGTGAGCGCCCGGGGGGGTGGGCACACGCTGCCCATCCTACTTGCTGTAGGATGGGCAGGGCAGATGCTTGTAACCCCTGCCCACCCCCACCCCTGTGGCCAGGTACCTTGCAAACGATATGGAGGAGGACCTGGAGGAAGCCAAATGTATGATTTTCCCGTGGGCCCTGGGCGAGGGCTGGCACAATCAGGTGGCAGACTTCCTGCGCCAGAGGGACAAGCTGTGGGCGAGGATGGGCTTCCGGGCTTTAGTGAGCCGCCGGCACTGTGAGAAGGTGAGGCCCTGATGGCATCCCAGGTGGGAAAATGAGGCTTGGGCCCTGGCCGGTTTGGCTCAGTGGATAGAGCATCGGCCTGCGGATTCAAGGGTTCGAGTCCGGTCAAGGGCATGTACCTTGGTTGCGGGCACATCTCCAGTAGGGATTGTGCAGGAGACAGCTGATCGATGTTTCTCTCTCATCGATGTTTCTAACTCTATCCCTCTCAGCTTCCTCTCTGTAAAAAATCAATAAAATATATTTTTTAAAAAAAAGAGGCTGGGGACCCCCCCAACCCCTACTTACCGTTTCCTCCACCTCTGCCAGGTCATGGCCATGGAGCCTTCCCACTGGGCCTGGACTCGGGAGCGGTGCCCCCACCACGGCGGGGCTCACAGGAGCTACTCAAAGGCCGGGATCACCCTCCCCGGGGGCCCCGGCTTCTCACCACCCCGCTGCTCCCTCTGTGGCTCGCCCCCTCTCCACAATCACTACTCCCCCCAGCCCTGCCCCTTGCCTGTCTTACCCGAGAGTCCTGCCCCCAACCCCGAGTGGTACGGCTCTCCTTCCCAGGCCTGTCTTTCCGGGGCTGAAGACCCCTGGGCTGGGGGCTTCCTCGTGGTCCTGCCCTCCCAGCTACTTCTGGAGCCAGGCACCTACACCCTTCACAGTGAGTTGAGGGCAGGAGCTGGGGGTGGGCTTGGGCTCCTGGGAGACAGGTGACCGAATGAGCGGAAGGACCGGGACCACAGGTCTGGGCGCATGACCCAGCTCTGCCAGCTCCTAGCTGTGTGAGCTGGGAAGTTTCCTCTCTGAGCCTCTCTTCGTCCTTCCCCCAGTCCTCTCGGAGCCGCTGCCAGTGCCCTAGGCACAGACGGGTGGACAGATGGACAGACGCTCGCAGGGTGAAGAGCAGCTGGCCTGCCTGCCCTGTGGCCCGCTGCCCTCCTGTCTTGTTGACTGCAGGCTGTCAGTGCTGCCCAAGCCCCCTGCCCCTCCTCCCAACCTGCAACTTGCACCCCCCCTGCCCTGCCCCCCTCTAATAAACTCATGTCCACTGTGCTTAGGCCTGGCTCCGTGGCCCAGGGTGGGGGAGGGAGGGAGTGGGGCGAGAGGCGCCTGGCAGGTTCAGATCTGTGGTTGAGACCCATGAGCACAAGTTCTGTCATCGATCTTCTCCTTCCTGTTGGTGGCGGTCATCCTGAGCCTCAGTTTCCCCTCTCTGGCCTCCCCTGTGGGTGATGAGATCTGCCGCGTGGATGGCACTGGATGAGATGAGGTGTACGCAGCCCTGGGAAAAGGGCCTGGAGCCTACTGCACACAAAAAGCTCAAATGAAAAACAGCTCTATACTCGTCCGAAATGCCCGGGGGGCAGGTCTGTTCAGGAATAAGACTAGGCCCTTGCCCTGGGCTGCAATCCAATGGAATGCCATGGTGATGCTAGAACACCCCTCCCCAAAGGGTGTTTGCTAATGACGGGCAGGGCGGGCTTTCCAGAGGAGGTGGGGTTTGAACTGGCCTTGGACAGTGTCAGGTTTGCATGAGGGCTGGCGAGGGGGGTGGTTCTGAGGAAGGGGGTTCTTAGAGAGACAGCCTATTGTACTGACTAAGTCTTGGCCTCTGACCCAGGCAGCTTCAAATTCCAGGTTCCTGCGTGACCTTGGCATGTCACTGAACCTCCCCCACTGCCTCATCTGTAAAAGGGGCATTGTACCAAAACGGGTTTTGAATGATCTAATCCTAGAAGGGTTTAGAACCGCCTCAAGAGTAGAGTGCAGGCCTGGCCGTGTAGCTGGATTGATTGGAGCGTCGTCCCGATGTGCCAAGGTTGCGGGTTCGATCCCTGGTCAGGACACATATAAGAAGCAACACTGAATGCATAAATACATGGAACAGCAAACTGACCTTTCTCGCTCTCCCTCCCCTCTCTCTTTCTAAAAAAAAATCAATCAAAAAAGGATGGAGCTCAAATATGTGTTACAGCCCTAGCAGGTTTGCTCACTGGGTAGAGCGTCAACCTGCAGACTGAAGGGTCCTGGGTTTGATTCCAGTCAGACACATGCCTGGGTTTCAGACTCTATCCCCAGTAGGGGGCGTGCAGGAGGCAGCCAAGCAATGATTCTCCCTCATCCATTGACGCTTCTTTCTCTCTCCCTCTCCCTTCCTCTCTGAAATCAATAAAAAAAATTTTTTTTTAAATCAAAGGAGAAATACCCTCGGGTGAGGAT